GCCTCATTAAGGTTGCAAGTGCTGAGATTTTGTATGGAAGATAGCTAGCTTTATACCATGTAAACAGGGGTCTTGTATATTTTTTGTCTTTTGGCTAGCTGCATAAAGTTTTCCTTTACCTAGATGGGGCAACGTCATTTACTTTGAATTTACATGGTTACAGAGAGGTTTATTTTAATGGAAATTCTGTGAATTGGGTGACTATTTAAATTTTACAACTTATGTATTCATAGTATGCTGACACTCAACCAGGTTTCATCAGTTCACTGCCTCTTGACTCACGATCACCTCAGTTAAGTCTGGCACTCAGGATCGGGGCAAATGTTTTAGTTGTTTTCTCATTACCACGCAAACAGGCGGGCTACAAGTTACGACTCTATCTGCTTACTCAACTGCAATCATTTTGCAGTAACACCATTGTTTCTGTAACTGATAACGTTTACATTGGAAAAAGAAGGTGCCAACTATCCAAAGCTGATAGCCAAAAGATATTCAGCACTGAAAGAACTTCTGATCTTTTTATTATTATTTGGAAGGTGGCTTAGACTATTTTTTTTTTTTTTCTGCAATTTGTACTCGGCATCCCTCCTCATCAGTTTCCATTTATAAATTTAAATCCCGCATAGCACAGTAAAGTGACAGTGTTCCATTGGTCCAGCAGCAGCAACGCACCTATGTAATGGATTTTTAAAGCAATTCTGTTCCGGCCTTGACAACCCCATCACCCCACCTGGAAAGTACTTTGTGAGACAAAGCGCTGTTGCCTTGGCATGTCAGCCCTTTTTCCCTAATGAAAGAGTTATGTGAAATCATCATGTGATGTCTGCTACAATGAGAAGGAGCAAAGGAGAAACCACAACATAAGCTGCCTTTACAGATACAAAATAACACCCTATGGTCAAATGACATAGTCCTGGAATTAACGACCCATCAAGTAGAAGTCCTCGTAGCGGCTGCATTTCAGTCTGACAAATAGCATTGTGTAAAAACTCTGAACGTTTTCTTGAATGAATGTAGTCAGAACATAGTTTGTATTGCCTAGATATATTTGTTTGAATGCCTGTTTAAAATGTACATCATTGGTTTAGAGACATTTCTAAGGTATTCTTGAGACACGGTAAACTGAAAATAATTTAGAAATACAAGAAAAACAGCAGTGGCTATAAGAACCATTATAGCAGTGGCTGACTATATTACATCAAAACGTTGGTGTGGATTTATAAATCCCCGTATGTTTAAATCCTACCCGTATTACAGTTTGCTTCATTTAATGTAGGTACTGTTTTTAGAGAGTATGGGGAAAGGCTTCTTTTTAATAACTTCTTAAAGAAAATTCTACCGTGATAAAATAATAAGGAAGTCAGGGTCTTTATACTAAAACACAGAAATGCTGAAGTCAGTCCTGTATCTTCCCATGACAAGTCTACTTTACAGTATAGCTAAAACACCTTATTTAACTCTGATTTGTTTCAGTGAGGGCTCACATTTAAGTGTTCTTTATGTTTGCTTTCCCCAGTCAGAAACAGAAGCACAAACACAAATGGTTTCTCATTTAAAGCAAGGGGATTTTTGATGACAGGGTGTTTTCCAGATTTCCTCATAAAATTAGTTTCTCTTCTGGACCTGAGGGAAAGGCTCATAATCTATTTACACAGTGTTTTCCTGGGGAGAATTTTGAAGGGGGGTGGGTAAATAAAGGTTACTTTTCTTCCTTAATAGGGAGTTAACATCAGATTTGACCTGTATTTAATGTTTGCAGTTTTTCATTTGAAAAGTCCGTGTTTCCAGTGTACGCGCTTTCTACTTGATGTAGTTTTTGTGTCTCAATGCGCTTTCCGCTGTCACAGCCAGTCTCAGGCTGAACAGCAACCGCCTCTCCCCAAGACCCCCCCAGCCTTAGTTTTAGAGAACCTAATGAAGCTTTGAACACAGGATAAACTCAATGTAAGGCATCTTCACCTTGTAGCAGATGTTGGTTTGTTATGTGCATCTGCACTGACTTTAGACAATTGGCTAAGATGTTTGTAAAATATTTTTGCAATAGTAGCACGTTATAAATAAATGAAATCTATTTAGCCAGATTGCCTAATAGAGCACATTTTACTATGTGGTTGGTTTTTTTTTTATGCATAAGAATTCCTAATTTATTATTTAGGCCTTCAGAAATTGTGAAGCCTAAACCACCAGTTTGGCATGGTTGTATCTAGCCGTGACCTATTTAGTTCGTAGTGGGTATAACTGGTGCACAAATTGTTACATTGGAAAAAGTGCTGGCTTCTGAAGTCATGACATTTGGAACGTAATAAACTTGAGGACATGTGCATTTGCTTTCCGATTTGGAGATCTGAGTTTTTCATATGCCAGCTTCTGACTGGATCTCAAAGCCTAGATGTTTACCTATTAAAATAAAATTGAAGAGAGGTTTCCAATATTATTCTCAATTTAGAGCTGAATCAGGGCTTTTTCAGGACTGTAGAAAAAATAATTTTGTCCTCTGAAGACTGAGGGAGAGGTAAGGTTTTGTAGCTGCCATCCTGGACACTGATTATTCCTTGGGCGGGGGCAGCGCCTGCAGCTCAAGAATGCACAGGGAAAAGGCAGAGAGGGGCTCTTTTGGCAGCATGAGCTGGTTAAACTACTGGTTCCCCTCCTCTCCAGTGCAATCAACGTGGACTTATGGGTAGATGGCACCAGTAACCAGTAATCTGTCTTTTTTTTTAATTGCTTTATGCTGTCTCAGCTGATGCATTCAGCTGAAACTTGAACTAATTTCCTTAACATCTGTGGTAAAATCAGATTGCTGATAATGCCAAATGGCTGCTTACCTGCTATTGCAACATGACCATTCCTTCTACTTGCTGCCTATTGTTTTAAACTTATATGGGAAGTTTACATCCTAGACGTTTTTATAGTACCTAGCACAATAGGATTCTGCTTTACACTATAAAACTGCTATACTACCTTTCATTTTAGTCATAGATACATAGCGCTGTATAAGTATCCAACAGTAGAGGAAGGTGTAAAATGCCATGCCGTAACTATTCTTGAGTTTGATATTGTTTATAGCTTTGTTCAGCAAGTAAAGCTGAGAGATTTCTTTGTATTTGAGAGTAGCTGGACAAATAGAGGGTAGAAGCCAAATCTGTCTTTCTAGGCTGTGTAACCTTGGGTGTGGTTACAAGCAGAATAAATCAATTTTAAGTCCCTGATGCTGCCAAAAAGGATATAGTTCCAAGCCATATATTTCTGTCTTCTCCCCAGCAGGTTAGCACTACTTCCCTCCCCATGCAGTCAGCTGGGTTGGTCCCTGATCCAGTTGAATATTTTTTTAGTAGGGTTCATTCTTAGGTGGTTCATGTTCTCACTATGGGACCAAAAGGTAATAGTGCCAAGACAGAGGCTGGCAGCAGGAACATATGGACAGGAGCAAATGGGAACTGCAACCCCTTTTGATGGCAGCTTCATCTGAAACTAACCCAGTTGTGCAACTGCATCCTTCGAGCAAAACTGTCCTTGGGTGGATTTTCATGAATTAAAGTCAAGGAAGGGAGATGATGATGATAAAACTGGGATTTGAGAAGTGTGCTCAAGACAGTTCCCTATTTGGAAAACATCTTGATCTGGTTTTGGTTTTCTGTGCTATGAGAAGGTGACATGCAAGTCTCCAGACTATGCTTCTGTCTGCCAAGTGACAGTATAAATGTTCAAGTGTATGTAAATCTGTGCAGATGTGCTAATTGTCAGGCCCTCCATGTCTTTAGCACGTGTTCAACAAGAGACTGGAGGGGTGGGTGACAGAAGGAACTGGGTTTTTTTAATTACCTTTGATGACATTAGAGAAAACACAGTGGTTCTCTGTGGTGCTATGTACTTGGCATTGATTTCTCCGTAATTCTAATCGAAGAGCAAAAGTAGTCTGGATACTTGCTTGCTTTGGTTGACTGCAGATTAGAATCACTTTTGTTGTCCTTTCCATGGGATTTTCCTAATGGAAGTAACACAGTCTCTTGAGACAAAACATTCTTTACAAGGTGTAAGATAAGCAGGGAAGTTTTGATTGGGGAGGTCACAGGTCTCTGATTCATAGCGGGGTTGGGTTTGGGGATTCCCCCTAGCAGCCTGTGGAGGTGAGGTATGGCCATCGGCCTCATTGACTCCTTTAGCTTTAGGCACTGTAAACCAGTGATTGAGGTGACTTTTTTTTTTTTACAAGATATGTTTTCCAGAGCGTTACGTCTGTTTTCTTATTAGGCTGGCAAAGTTTCCATTGTTGTTCTGATGAAAGTACATAAGAAACATTAGATGATTTAAAGACTTTTAACATCCACACTTGCAGAATTACCACTCATTAAGTTGCTTCTACCAGCCTTCATCACCGAACCCTTAACGTACAGACACCAGTGCAAATTATCCCTTATTTAACTTACTCCTCTGTATGGCAAACTCTGTAACGTTTTTGTTACTGAATACCCTTTCACTTTATTCGTAAGTGTGCTAGTTGCCATGCTTTGTACACTGCAGTGACATCCAGAATACAGATGTTAACACTTGGTAGAATAGCAGAATTTCTGTCCTGATTCTAGCCAAAGGCAAAACTCACATAATTTAATCAGGGCAATATTTCTTCTGGAAGTATTAGTCCTAACTTGGCTTTGGCACTGATTCTTGAGCAGTGCTGTAATCTGACTTGAAAGTCAAATATCTCAAGTATGAGGTATTCGCTGTGTCGCTGTCAAAGGCACTGTAAACTTTGCGCTCTTACAAGAAATCAGTATTGTACAAATGCTTTGTATGTAAAAAACAGCTGTATTTGGCCCTAGATGTAAAAAAGAATAATGATAATAAATCCTTTTTAAAGCCTGTTTCCGTGAAAGGGTGATGTCTTCCAGCGTTACTGTTTTCTGCTTTTCTCTGTATGCATCAAAACCAATGACTTAGCTTTTTTTTTATTACTGTACAGTTTCTTGTGAAATTATGCTTCTTTTTCCTTTTCTTTGTAGGCAACAGAGATTTTGCTCCTGATGATCCACTGGAATTTAAGTCTCATCAGTGGTTTGGAGCCTCTGTGAGATCCAAAAATGATAAAATCCTGGTAGGTTTTTGATGCCCTTCAAATGCTTCAGTACTGGGATACTGTAGTGGAAAAAAAATGTGAAAAGATCCGGATAACTCAGAATTTAAACAAAATCCCACCAATCGGTATGGCTTCTCTTTTTCAGAATTTATTGGCTAGCCTTTTTTAACTCTTTATAAACAAAGGTTGTAGCATTTTTGTCTCATTTTGAGGGAAGTAGTAGAATTTGTATTCTTGAAATTAGAATGTGTTATAAATTCTTGAACTCTTTACAACTGTTGCTTTAAGAAATTATTATTTCTAAAATTCTGGCGATAAATCAGCTATTTCTAAAAATACAAACTGGTGATCCTTCTGCCCCAGCGCTGATAGTATAAGTCTTCTCTAATAACACATGGTACATCCGCCAACATTTTTTTTGATTACTGTTCTGTAGAAAATTGGAATGCTGTTGTATTATTCTATACCCCCCCAGCATTTTGAAGAGGAGTTTGTTTTCTTGCTGACATGGTTTCTTCCTTAGGCCTGTGCCCCATTGTACCACTGGAGGACTGAAACAAAACAAGAGAGAGAGCCTGTAGGAACTTGTTACTTGCTTGCTGGATCTAAATCTGTGGAATATGCACCCTGCAGGTCAAGTAAGTGGGGAGTCCTTCGTTACTTTTCTGTTTGGAATTTTTCTTGTGTTATGTTTTGTGTATGTTTGAAGCGGGGTGTTTTACAGGTATTTTCCCCTTCCATGTATAGCCTCATAGCATATAGAAAAAAAACCTAAGCTAGGTCCAGACATCTGAATTCTCCTCCAGTTGATGTTCAGGATGCAGACCTTGCTTTCTCTACTGTAGGCCAGCGGAACGTCTTAGATCCAAGTATCATTGGAATTGAGGACTTCAGTTTTTGAAAGGACCACTTCTGTAGTAATCACTCGAGCAAAATTATGTAGCAAGTGCTTTTTCAAAGACCAACTCTAGAATTTTCTGAAGCTTAATTATTGTTATTTAAGTAATTTAAAGAGAAAGCTCATTTTAGAAGACAAGATTTTGTACAAGTAGGTTCTGATTTCTGTGTATTCTTACGTACGTATCAGTGCATTGTTTTAATTACATTCATTGTTAAACATCTGAGTCTTATTTTCCAAACGCTTTGCATCCATATCATGTAGTTGAGTTGGTAGATTATTCAGACACAACCTTTTCTAAAATGTAGAATTCTAAAAGTTGAATGTTCAAGCTAGGATTTTTTTTTATTTGCTGAAAATCAAAGGTGAACAGCTTGTAAGATAAACTCAGCCATAACAGTTCTTGCTGGGATGAGTCTCAGTGTGTGATTTTTTTTCAGCCAGGTATGCTTTTTTTTTTTAAGCCAATTCTCGAAATAATTTATGGTTATGGACCTTTCAGATTTTTATTTCATACCAAAAGAAAAACTTGCTCCCTGTTTTCCACATACCTTATTTCCTGAATAAAAATCGCAAATATTTTTCCCCAAAACTTTTAAAGATTAAATACAAAGAAATACGGAGTTGCTGTTTACTTTGACTGTGTTAGGGTAGAACATATGTTAATGTTATACGTATGTTAGGCCAGCCCTAAAGTTGTTACAGCATTTAGTTGTGAGTTGTTGATAAAGAGAAAATACTGATTTAGGAGGAAAAAAAAATTCCAAGGTTCAAGTTCAGGAGTGCAAGGTTGCTTAAGAAGATGCATTGGAAAGTATCCACAGAATCATCTGATCTAGTAATGATAGTATTTATTTTTCTCTCTCCTTCTTTTTTATCCGTTCATTTTTGTAGCCACTATCGATGCAGATGGACAGGGATTTTGTCAAGGTGGATTTAGTATTGACTTTACAAAGGTATGTGATTCTTTCTCAATTCCTACGGGTCAGCAGACAGTTGCAAGTTAACAACAAGCCTGATACAGACCACATATAAGTACAGCTATTATGAAACTAAATGTAAATTACCATTTCTGGGGGGGGAAACCACAACCAAACACATCCTTGTAAATAAAAAAAAAAAGCCTTCAAACCACTCTGGTATTATAAACCTGTTTCTTCCTACATCTTCACAGCGGCATCCTTTTACCTCTTGTAGGAACCATGTCCTGAACAAGTAATCTGCTTTTCCAGCCTCATGCCATAAACCTCTGCTGCAGCTAGTCCTCAAGTGAAATAAACTGTAGTAGTCAGGTTTTTTGAGACACTTATTTTGGAGGTGCATAGCTAGTGTTACTTCTTGAGGAAGAATAGCTTACTGCTAAAGGGAACTGGTAAACAGTGTTCTTGTGAATTATGTTTTGCTTTTCTCATCTTCTAGTAGAAGTAGACTTTTTCTTTTTTTGCCATCTGTCTCACATGTCTTCTGCTTTTCTGTTCTCTTTGCCTTTTATAGTTCTTTTATTTTCTAAATTCATAATTACTTTTAAAATCCAAGCACAATAAAACTGCACAAATCTGAGAACTAGCTAGAGCTTTTTTATACTGTACAGTTAAATTGTTCAGCATAGTCCGGACATGTTAAGACCACGCAAGTCCTATTTGTGATGCGGCAATTTTTTGGGTTCCTCACATGTTAGGATTGGGTTATATCCCTTCACTCTCTGCCCAAGGACACTCTTGTTTTTCCTCCAGAGGAAACTGTGCAAAGTGCAGTATAGGACTGTAAGTGTTTGAGTTATTTCACGTGCACCGCTCAGGCTTACTGTGCAGACTCTAGCCCCAGTTAAAACCAACCTTGGGGTCTAATCCAAAACCCTAGCTGAGTGGGCAAGCCTGGGTATAAGGTATCTCCAAATCTCTGACCTAGATTTTTCTGAATGGTGAATGTGGGAGTTTTTGAGATTAAAACCTGGATAAGTGGCTTAATTATGCAGCAAAGCCTGTGGCCCAATTCAGTACTTCGGGAGCAAATTCCCAGCACTGGGATAGCTACTGTGGTTAAAGTTTCATAAAATGGTTTGTGGATTGCAGTTCTACCAAGGAATACGGAGTGGGGGAATTACATCACAGCTTTTCTGAACTAAACTTTCTTAAAGAGAAGTTACAGAAAGTGGCAGGGGAAGAAGATGAAACCAGTTTTGTGTACTGACCTAAAAACATGTTGTGATTGCCTTGTAGGAGTCTTAAAGTTTTCTCCTAATTGCATTTCTGTTGTCCTAGATTTACGTGGGTAGAAGGGTCTGTTACAATAAAAGCAGAATTCTGCCTAGAATTTTAAATGGGTGAAATAGAGAAGCAAGTCACTGAAGGCATATTGTTTGCTATCTTAGTATTTTACGAGATGCATTTTTAATTAATCATTCCTTAAAAAAAAAAAAAAAAAAATGTATTGGGGTCAGTGAAGCTACAGTGATATAAATGCATGGAATTACTTCCCATAAACATAGGACATGTTCTCTTGTCTTTAGATAAGCTTAATGTGTTTTTTCTTTGTCTGTCTGTTTTTTGGTTTTGTTTTGTTTTTTTTCTCTCCCCTTTTCCCCCCCTTCAAGGGAGACAGAGTGCTACTTGGAGGACCCGGAAGCTTTTACTGGCAAGGTAAGATATAGCATTTAAGTCACAGAGAAGTTGACTTCTTCGATTTTTCCTTTTATCCTCTTAGTCGTTTTTATCCACAGTCCTCCAACCACTGTCAAAATCTTTGTCAATAAGAAAACTAACAAAAAGAATTTTATTTGTCCTTCAAAATATTTCCTGAATAAGGCAACCGCAGACTAAAGCTGAAGTAATAGTTGTATAGATGTGTCTTTTGTCTTTTAAATAACTCTATGATCATTTTAAAGGCATTTTCCCAGGAATGTGGAATTTGTTTCCACCAACAAGATAAATTTCCTTCAGGATATTTTGCCTGTTGTTTCAAAATCTACATGTTTTGTAATTTCTGACACATGTATGAAGCATGTATTTTCAATTAGAAATGTACCCTGCAAAGAGAACTATCATTGTTTTCCTTTGATGGCAAAGACGTATTGCATTTATATATATATTGATCTGTTTGTGCCATGGTGCACATTTTACCTCTAACTGTGCTGTTTACACAGAACATTACCTATATATTTTGCTAATGTGGGCTTCAGTCAGTATTTGTTTGCAGGATCGTTCAGTGTTTAGCTATAGCTCTCTGTTCAAAAGATGGTGCTGCTACAATCAGGACATAGCTGCCAAACTCTGCTGCCTGTTTTTTAATGTAAATACTAATATTTATGAAAGATTTTCTGTATCGTGACAGCCTACATGTAGATGCAGCAGCACAGGAGGCTTGTTTCTAGTCCTATGTTTTAAATTCTGAACAAAATGGAATGATTGAAACTAAACTGCAGATACAATATATTATAAATTATGTTTGTGTATTCATTTTATTGCTTTTTGGCAAAAGCGACATCTCATCTGCTGAAGCAACCTTATTCTCTTCTACCACTACCAAAAAAATAACAACCAAAAAAACCCAAAAAAACAAAACCAAAACCAAAACCAAACCACAAACCCTCAGCTCTGAATAGAAGACAACAGTAAACCAGATTTTTCCCCCAAAATTTTTATTCCACATTCTGAGATGCTGGAGGAGAAGTTTTCCCTATAATTCTTACATGTATGAGAACGTATGTGAAGTAAGTGCTCTTCTGAAAAAAATTTTTTTGTGATTGAAGAATTAATTTAAACTCAAAGAAAAGAATGTAATGAAGTCACCACCTAGTGGCTAGTGAAGTGAAAACAGAGGACGCGGTAACACGCTATGCTCACCTTATTAGCTTCTTGCCTGCCATGTTAAGCTCTCATGTTATGGTATTTAGACAAGGAGCGATGACTCAGTTCTGCAATACCATAAGCATATGCTTACTGTTACCTAACTGAGCAGTCCCATTTAAGTCCTGGCTTACGTGTAGGAGTGGCTACTGTTTTCAGTGAGAACTCTGTGTGCTTTTGATTAAATATGTGCGTAAGTCTTGGCTGAAGTAGGATCCGAATTTTCACTTCTATCCTTTCTAGTGCTGCTGCTGTTGGCTATTTTCTGATCAGTATTGTGGAAGAGTTGTTGCTTTAGAAGCAAGCATTCTGTAAATGAGTCCTGTTGCTTATTGAATGAGTGCGCACATATTTTATTTGTATTTTTAAGCTGTTTTCTTTCTCTTTAGGCCAACTTATTTCTGATCGAGTGGCAGAGATTGTGGCTAAATACGACTCCAAAGTCTACAGTACAAAGTACGATGACCAGTTAGCAACCAGACCTGCCAGTGCTGCTTTTGATGACAGCTACTTGGGTGCGTAGTTTGAAAAGGAAGAAAACCCATCTGTATTTGAAAAACTCCCTTGCACTATTCATATTTAAGTCTAAATCACACTACTATTCATTAGACATTTGATAGATAACTAAAGAGCTACATACCTCAAAATGCAGTAATTTATGTATGACGGAAGCTTAGTTATCTTGCCATAGGCTTGATTCAAAAAGCACCTGACGATAAAATAAACGGAAACATTCCCATGAATTTTTGTGCTCTGTGATTCAGGCCGAATAATGGGAATGGCCAAGGTATGATTTTTATGTGAGAAGTTAGTCACATACCTATTTTTTAGAAAAGCAGCTGTTTTTAAATAATGTGCGAAAACAAAATAAAAATGTGAAAGAATCATGTTTGGGAAGAAAAATAATGAAGAGAGTCCCTTAGAGGAGTGGGAAATCATCATCTAGCTTCATATATGTCTAACTGGGTTTAGAAACAAGCAAGGATAGACCAGGACAGTTCCCAGGATAACTTGAAAATTTTCATCTTCTGATCTCAAATTCATGGATGCTGTTGAATTACAGCCTACTCATGTAGCTGTTCATAGTCTAAGCTACTTAGAGGCAATATCTGTTCCATTGCGTGTTAAGATGAAGCGAGAGGACTGTGCCGAGAGACCTGTGAAGAGTGTAAAGAGAGATGAAAGGTTTAATAAAGTTTTTAAAGTGACTTACTAATTTTGTCTGTTGATCAGGTTATTCAGTGGCTGTTGGAGACTTCAACGGTGATGGCATAGAAGGTAAGACCCTTATTTCAGTAAAAAAATCATGTTAATAGGCTGGTCAGGTCTTTCAAATAAATGGTATAGAACAAACAATACAGTGCACAGGAAAATGCATAAAGCACTAGGAATGAGCTACTCTGTTCAAGCAAAGCCGTCGTGTTTTGGGCCCTGAATGTTATCTGGGTGTCTTGCTTTGTATTTCAGACTTTGTATCAGGAGTCCCAAGAGCGGCAAGGACTCTGGGCATGGTAGGAAATTTGAAACATTAAACTTCACAGTAAATAAAAAAGGTGCATATTGTTGGCATGCTGTAATGTGTATTTCTTGATGTGCAGGTGTCTATTTACAATGGGAAAAACATGTCTTCCATGTACAACTTCACTGGAGAGCAGGTATGTAGCTTTATTCAGTGTGGTAGGTGATCGGGAGGCTGTTCCTATAGAAAGATGACACGTTGAGACAGTATTTAGGGTACTAGAACATATAATATTCTGTAGCTTATGTGCCAAAGAAGAATTCAATAAAGTCTGTAGGAATCCTAAAAATATATGTTCTGTGAGTTCCCGTTTTGTAGTACTACTTAGAAAAACAATCTTATTTAAATGAAGGAAATGCTGCCTGTTTTTAGAATTGGGAAGGGGGGAATGGGGAAGCTAACTGATCAGTTTACTTTCTAACAGAGAAGGAAGAGAAAGGAAAATGTGAGGAGAAAGGAGACAAAAAATGTTGTGGTATATATTATCATTTCCCTAACATCTTTTCTGTACAGCTTTGTATAAAGTTACTTGTTTGTTTATATCACTACAGCTCACAAGTTTGGTTTCAATTTTGTTTTCCAGATGGCTGCCTATTTTGGGTATTCGGTGGCTGCCACAGACATCAATGGGGACAAGTAAGTGCCCTCTTCTCCCCACTGCCACCCAACTTGTTTCTGGAAAGAAAAAAAAAAAGCTTTTATTGAAAAGTCTTTCCTACAATATAGATTTCTGTCTTCATTACTGGTTTAACATGTATCTGCGCAATATACTTTCTCGCTAGCGCTCAACATTTGTTTTAACAATTGTGGATTTGGTTTTGTATTTATTTACATAAGTACACGTGTGTATTCACATGCTTTAAATGCATTAAATTCTGGTATATTTGTGCTTGCTTTGTCAATAAATATTTGCCTTGAGTTGCAATTTAAAGATAGGTAACTTTCAACTTAATATTGACTTCAGTGCTGAGTTAGTCCTACTAACAGATGCTTAAGGGAATGAAACTGAATTTTCATGTTGTTACTGAAGAACTTTATCCTTCTTTGGTCCAGTTACACAGATTTGTTTATTGGAGCCCCTCTTTTTATGGATCGAGGTTCTGATGGGAAACTTCAAGAGGTTGGCCAAGTTTCCATTTGCCTTCAGCGAGCCTCTGGAGGGTTTCAGATCACAAAGCTGAATGGTTTTGAGATATTTGCAAGATTCAGCAGTTCTATTGCACCTCTGGGGGATCTAGATCAGGATGGCTTCAATGGTAGGATATCATTTATTGATCAGTATTTTCCGTTTGTAGATTAAATCTAGACAGCTCACTGAATGTGGATTCTGCACACAAACATTAGGCATTCTAACCATGACTGAATGTTGGACACTAAGGTCTAGACTCCTTTCGATGCTTGTATGCTACTCCCAAGAATGCTAACAGGAGTTACATGTATGCATCGAGCAGAGACTATACCATTTAAGCTACAGCATGGATTATTTTAGCTGTTACACTGATCAGTTTATTACTTTAAGTGATAAGTACAGTAGAAACTTCGATGAAATATCTGGCTCTCCACTGTGACTTGTTAAGACATCTTCAATATAATTTTCCTGTTTCCATTGCTTAAAGCCAATTTTCTTCTCCAGAAACACAATGATGACTGAAAAGAAGGTTTTGTTTCAGAGAGCTGGTTAAAAATGTTCTGATAGAAGAGATTTTCCTGAGAAAAGTCTAGATTTTTTTTTTTTTAATTTCAAAATGGAAGAGCCTGGTGAAAATATCGCATAACTACAGCCAACTGTACTAAGAGCTGAGTGCCTTGAGCAAGTATTTGGATGAGAAGTCTGAGTCTGATACAACTGAAGCTGTGGACTCTCCAACCCATTGCCAGCACTTCTTGTTACTTTCACTTAGGAATGGAGAGCAATGAAACAGACAAGAATCATATAGTTTTGGGATGGAGACTTCCAGGAATGCTAGGGAGAACACTTGTTTTGCAAGTCATACTCCAGTGTTTCCTAAAGAGTGGTAGGAATTTGAGGTCCACAAAAAATGCTCGTTTTTGTTTTTTCTATTTTGCTTGCAAGCTAAGTATTTTTTTGAAAGATCAAAAATTATAATAGGTTAATATTTCAAATTCCCAGATAGCTCTAATTTATTTTTTTAATGAAATCATAAAATCGTAGAATCATAGAATAGTTTGGGTTGGAATAGTTTTTAGTTGCTAATAGTATAGAGAATTAGTGTGAAGATGCAATATCATTGCAACTATTTACAGAAGGCATTGGAAAAGTTACAGCTGATAGCCAAAAATCCAGTCACTTGATGAGGTTATTCAAAAAATGTTTTGATTCCATCATATTTCAATCTGAAATACACTGTAGGTGAGAAAATCATAGCAAAAGCTGCCTCTTTTTAATTACGTTGCCATTATTTAGTCTGGTTTTTTAGTCTTTTTTTTTTTTTTTTTCTGCTCTGTTTCATTTTGGGAGTGTTAATTAAAATGCTTTCCATCACACTATGGTGCAAAATTGGAATTCCTACTGTTTTCATAAAGTTTGTAAAGATGAGTCAAAAATACAAAATGGTAAACTTTTGAGTCCTTGTTCTTTTCGTGTTTGGTCTTTGAACCGACTGCGGAAATGTTGAATTTAGATCATACGTACACTTCTAAAGCTGTCCTTACAGATAGTCCTATTAGCATTTTGTTTATTACTTACTGATTATCAATGACTAATAAGCACTCTCAAATTTATTAAGCTTAAGAGATAGCATAATTGCACTAACTGAAAGTTCTTCATAAAACATATTGCCAAGCCATGATGGGGATAGACTGGAATTTGATATTTACCATTGTTTTAGGATGATCTATGTTTTCCGGAATTACTAAGATGTCACACCCTTTGGAGGAACATGAGTGTGTTAATGAAATGGGCAGATAGTCCCACTTAGTTTAGTGATTTGGCACCAACAGTGATTAATTCTGGGTGTTTAATACTCAAAAGCATTTCAAATCCATATGATTTGGCTGTAAGTCAGTTACTGAAGTGCAGAAGCGTTTGCAGAACTATTCCTTTCCCTCCTCCCCGCTGCTCCGTACAAGTCTATGATACATGTTCTTGTTAAACCTTTATACTTTCTAGGAAAAAAAGCATCCAATTAAAAAAAAAAAAAAGTTGTTGATGAGCATTTTAAAGGCTGGTTGCATTTCCTCCCTACTGACACACACTGAAACTTTAATATCAGAAATTATTGCTCAATGTAAGCACAAATATGTTCTCCTAGTTTGTGTCTGGAGATGTTGATGACTGTTCTTTCGGTTTACAGATATTGCAGTTGCTGCACCATACGGTGGAGAGGACAAGAGAGGACTTGTCTATATCTACAATGGAAGAGCAAACGGTTTGAATGCAGTCCCATCTCAAATTCTTGAAGGGCAGTGGGCCGCTCGCACTATGCCACCCAGTTTTGGGTACTCGCTGAAAGGAGCCACCGATGTGGACAAAAATGGATATCCAGGTCCTTTGCTCTAAATGTCACTTTAGAATAATCTAATAGTAGCCCCACCTCTGACTAACAGTATGTTTAAAAAAATAAATTGTAATGTGTAATATTTCTTCCTAGACTTGATTGTTGGAGCCTTTGGTGTTGACACAGCTGTTCTGTATAGGTAAGTATCCCTCTACACTTTTACATAAGCGCAAGCAGAATGGAAGCTCAGAGGCATTCCTATTACAAAAGAAAGCAGGATGAGGGAAGTCTGAAATTCTGCCACTCCAAACTGCTGGAGGTAAAAAAAGGTTATACTGAGTATATTTCACTGAGTAAATCTACAGTCTGCTATCTATTATTTATCTTTCTTAATAATCTGTAGTTAAGAGAAAACATAAATAAGCTGTCTTCAAGGCTTAAGGCTCAGAAGTGACAGTTTTCTAGATTCTGACCCATACAGGGTGCTGCTAGCTATTACAGTGCAATACTGATATTCTCATCCAACTTTGCTCATTTTGGGAAAATACCTTATTTGTCTGTGCTAGAAATAGATAGGACTTCCTCTTAACACAATTATCCATGTTCTGACTCTGGCAATAAAAGGGCATAGAAAAGGTTCCTGCTTTTCCCTAATCTACTCCTTAATTATGTGTTATTCTTGCAGTTTCACTAAATATTGTCTAAGTGTGTGTGTGGCTGTATTTCACAGTTTGATGGGGAGGGTATTGTCTAACATGGTGTTGAATGCTGTTCAAGAGGATGTTTTCTTTGCAGGGCTAGACCAGTTATTAGAGTAATTGCTGCCCTAGAAGTTAATCCAACCATTCTAAACCCAGAAAACAAAGCCTGTTCGCTGTCAGATGTAAAGGTTTCTTGGTAAGCAGGGTATCTTTGTTTTCCTTTGAGGGGAGGGACTTTTTTGGGTTTTATTTTCATAAACTTTTAATTTTGAAAGCATTCAGGAAGTCTAGTCAGCTAATTAAAAAAAGGCAATCACAGATCTTTCTGAAAGAACAGACAATACAAAATAAGAACTCTTCGACAACGGTGGGAGGACCAACATTGTCTTCAATAGATGCTAGACTGACTCCTCAGTTAGATCCTACCTGCAGAGGTTGCTAGTTGTCTGTGTTGAGTAGAGTAAGATCTTCCCAAGATGGTAACAGATCAGGCAGCTTTTGCAGTGTTTTTACCCATTAACTTACTTTTTAGGTGAAAAATAGAGTGGGTGTATGGAAGACACTTGCATGGGAAATGATTTGCTCTGCAAACTGTTTTTGGTTCTTGTTCCTGGAGTATTATCCAAACCCACTTTTCCTTTCTAGTGCTAACGTCCTTTTCAATTCAGCATGTCAGTTACCTCTAGCATTAAAAATAAATGAGCCACATTTGATTTCAGGAATCAACATGCTGCTTCACAGGTCACTATTCCTACATGAAGCAAGACTCCAAAGCTTTGCATTGCTGTCTACTTATAAATAGGTTATAGTTTCTCTCCCACCAGTAGAAAATAGCTTTTGGGAGTGAGCTAGAGTCTCAAAAGGGAATAGCTTTGAACTGAGACAAACAGTAAAGAATTTTAGAAGAAAATGAGAGAAAAAGTGTGTGAAATTAATCTTTTCTTTTCCTCCAAAACAGTTTCAAAGTAAAGTTCTGCTTAAAAGCGGATGGCAAAGGAAAGCTTCCTAATTCACTCAGTAAGTTCTAGTTTAAAAACTTTGAAGTCTTTTTATATCGTTTGCAGACATGAGCTCTGGTCATCGTTCTTTTTCATTATTGAAACAGATGGCTGCCCTTTACAGCACAATCCTACCAGTTCGGTAGCCATATGCATCTGTAAGACTGTCTTCAGCATTTTTTTTGCTGAAGTTGTGTTGAAGTCAGTGGGATTTGAGTAAACTTGGGACTTTAAGCATATGTTTAACCACTTGGTGGAACTAGTCTTGGAAAGTCCTTTTTATTTTACAGAATTGAGATCAGCTCTCATTGAGGGGAATTTTAGACAAGAATATTCGAGTATGTGCATCGTTAGGCCTGAAAAATATAGACAAGCTGTAAGGGACTTCTCACATTTCTGTTGAAACCATGAACTTCTGGTTGATACTACTGATTTTTGCATCAGATTCTCTGGATCAGAGTCAGGAAAAGATTGTTTCAAACAGGTTTTTAAGTTGTCTCTTAGAGATTTTGTAGAGTGGCAGATGGCCTGCTACAATCAGGTTTTGTCTACTGATTAGAAAAGCTTTTCCTTATTTTTGTATGGCATGTCTAGAGATGGTATGATCTGTGAAGATTCATATAAATAGCTGTTACATATTTTAAATGTCATTATCTATATCAAATATGTGAAGTAAATAGATTAGCAATACAGCTTAATATAAGTGTTATGTGCAAGATTGCTTTAAAATTTTCTGGGGGGAAACAAGAATTTAACTTTTCTTGCAGTTCTATAGGAATTATAAATTACAAATGTATCAGTGCTCTTCTGTGTTTCCAATTTTTAAGGAAAAAGCAGGGTCCAATTTAGGACAACAATAGTGTTTGTTAGTTACTGTATTGAGAACTAATGTAGTAAGAGATTTTATATTGAAAGAACTGGAAGTTTTAAAAGTTCCAAGTACTAGGTTTTCATTGTAGCTGAAATCAGCATTCAGCTCCACTGCTGATGGGAATCTGGATTGTGTTTAATTGAATGAAATATCCCTAACCGAAATGCTTTGGATTGGACAGATTTCCAGGTGGAGCTGCTGTTGGATAAACTTAAGCAGAAAGGAGCTATAAGGAGAGCTCTCTTTCTCCACAGCAAACAGCCTAGCCACTCCAAGAATATGACTATTACAAAGGGGGGCAAAATGAATTGTGAAGAACTTGATGCCTTTTTGAGGGTAAGTAGCCATTTACGTTTTAGGCAAATAATTTTTGGTGCACTGTCTATTACAAGTTCCTCTTGTTAGGTGTTTTTTTTTAAAAAAAAAAAAAAAGAAAAAGAAAAAAAAATGCTAGAGCAACTTCATGCCCAATGGATAGACCTAAAATTACTAAAACCGTATGTCTGTCCTGGGTTATCACTGCTGTCAGAGGATGAATGATGGATATTATTGTGACTAAAGTCCTGGCCACTAAATGGATTGAAAATTCAATTCTGAACTTTGTTATGGACTTCTTGGACAAGTCATCTAGGCACAAAATTAGTTATCATTTCCAAGAAACATGAAAGTCAATAAGCAGAGGTTGTGCTTCTACTTCGGAGGCAGAAGAATAAATGAAAATACGGATCTGTAACTAAAAAGCAAAGATCAGCAAATAACAGAGGAGACAGAGAAGGCTGAAATACTAAGTTTGCTTTTTCTCAGTCTTTTTTAGTCCCCACAAATGTGGACAGATGCTGACACCATTAAAAAGTGTAACCCAGTAGAAGAAACAGTGGCTGAAATGAGGAAGGACATGTGGAAGTGTAGCTATGTAAGTTAGATGCAGCTCAGATTTATCTCTGAGTACTTATAAATCAAACATAAATAATACTTTCTCCCTCCTTCAAAAAAACCAAAACCAATAAAAATGCTAGTAATCATTCAGGATTCATGGAGGGTAGGTAATACCTTTCTTTGACTGGCCTTGTGAGTCGGAGATATATATGTGGAAATAGACATCCCAGGTCTCAGGGTTAGTAAAGCTTTAACACTTTTCCACCTGACGTTCTCATAAAGAAAGTAATGGCACATGACCTATATGAAATTACCTTAAATTGGATGCAAAACCAGTTGAAAACTATAAGGGAAAGAAGCCCACAGCAGATAGCTTCTGAAGTAAGATCGTGCAGTGTTCTAGAGTCAGTAATTTTCAGAGTTTATACTGATAAAATCTGTGGCTAACATAAAGCTAAGAGATGGTTTGTAAGTACTCTGAAAGGCAGGATAAACAGAATGATTTGAAATGAGCAATATGAAAGTCGGCAACTCCAAGTACAAAGTAATAATTTTAGGAAGGAAAAATCACAAGTCCAAAGATCACAAGTCCATCTGTGAGGGATCGTAGAAGCATACTGAATTTTGTCTGAACAGGATTGTATAGCCCTTTAGGCTCCTCACTGTTATAGTTCTATGACTTAATACTTCTGTATGCTCCGGTTTTCCATTTGTAAAACAGGCATGTTACTACTAAAATTGTCCATCTTCAAAGTTTACACTGGAAGTTTTCTGACAAGCATTCTTCTACTTTGAAAAGAGCTCAGAAGTTTTAATGTTGTTTTGGCTTCCTCATTCCTACTACAACATAATAAATAAAAATGCTGCTTTGTATTGCGCTTGGGATGACTGTTGCCTGTAGAGACTTCTGAAGAATATTTTTGTTGTTGTTGTTTTCTTCTTCACATGTTTTAATTGTAATTCAAATCTTCGTTTTCCTCAGGATGAATCTGAATTTAGAGACAAACTAACTCCCATTACTATTTTTATGGAATATCGTCTGGATTACAGAACAGCTGCAGATGCAACAGGATTGCACCCTATCCTCAACCAGTTCACTCCTGCTAATATGAGCAGACAGGTATACTTCTTACACAATCTGCGATGAAGAGAACTCAGAATGTATTTTAGGCTTTCAATACTTATTCAATACGTATGTTCCCCTTAGGACTTCTGAAAAATTAAGATACCAAAATATACATCTAGGCTTTAGTCTTTGAATTATGGAAATATTGGTGGTTATTGTATGTTTGTCTTCTCCTTTTTTTCCTTCTCTCTGTGTCAAATTCCTTTTTTGACACCTTATTCCTTAGTGCTGGACTTCTTTTTCACGTATACTAATTAACAGTTTTCTGGAGAAAAGCAGTTAGAGTAGTATTGAAGGTGTTAATCTTGAAGTATTGGAGTGTTTCATCCATTGCTCATACTATGCTGCTCTATGTATATTATGTTTATCCCTATAGTTCTCTTAAGGTAATAAGCATGTTTTTTCTATTTCCGCACTTTATACAAATTTTTACACTTGTTTGTAAAGAGGATAGTGGAGATGCAACTCAAGATGAAGAGATTGTTCAAAGAATGGAAAGAGGATTAAGATACGTAGACATCAGTCCTAGAACTGCAGCGTGGCAGGATGAGGCATCCTCATTTGTGAGGGATGAGTGTCCCCGCTATATAAAAACTCATTTGTTCTCTTCTGAGACTAATGCGATGAAGATATCTCGTAACAATCTATTTAGAAATTTTTTTATTTGGTGGTGACACAGTATTATTGGAAATGTGTGTTAGATGCAGGAATTATTACAATATGCGTTTGATTTTTGCATAGGCACATATTCTGCTGGATTGTGGTGATGATAATATCTGCAAACCAAAGCTGGAGGTTTCAGTAGAAAGGTAAATACATGAGAAAACTACTACAGGGAAAAGTAACTTCCCTACTTGAATTCTAAACTTCAAGAGCTTGTAATACTTTTGTTAAAAGGACGTATTGAAATAAGTAGGGCTCCTCAGTGTATACAATCTAAACTCATGCTTATTTGTTTTAAGGAAACCCTATTTTCTGCTTTGTAACCTAATGTCTTTAGCATGTAATACACGGAGAGCACACACCACTGCCCCACCCTGGCCCCCACTACAAGTACACAGTATTTACTTGTGTATTTGCTAAGCTGGACATGCATAGGAAGCATAAACCAGTGTTAGCTGTTAACTGTTCTGTTATTTAAGATAGACACATGAAGATGTGAACAGGCATGATTTTATCCAGCAAGGGGTGGAGTAGGGCTCTGTCACATGTATGACAAAATTGTTGGTATTGGTAATATCTTTTATTAAACCTGTAAAAAAAGAAACAAGTTTTAACTGATAATTCTTTCATGAGTCTGGGCTTTTTGTGCTTTGTATGCCCAAAAGCCGTTCTTAGTGTATTATCTCTACTCATAAATTATGTTATCTGTTTGTTGTTTTTTTTTTTTTATGCCCTTAGTGCAGAGCTATAGCATATGCACATGTACCTAGATAGTACAGTTCACAAACATACTAATTAATGCAAATGCTTCAGAAACATTTTACATTAGTGCAGGTACAGTTAGGTTTCCTTGTAGTTGGTGAAACAAAAATACCTTATTTGGCAAGATATTCTTTTTGTATCTGGAACAAATGTATTACAGAGGTCTTGGCTGTATTCTGTAGTTGAGCCTTCCATCAAGTTTTGTTATAAATTTATCCTTGTATCTCTGCTAAGTAGGCATGTAATTCAAAATGTACACAATGATTTAGCTGTTCATAATTCTTTGTTCTTTGTTAAAAAAAGGTGACGGCGGTTTTGTGGTTTATTGTAAATTTTATAAAAAAAGATTCTTACAAAACAGAATGTAATATTTGCTCTGTTTTTGTTGTTACAGACGTGTTTTTGTTTTAAACATAGTGTAGAGCTCTCCTGATATTCCTGAAGTATAGGTACTGCCTCTAGATTCTCTAATGTCTTTGTGCAATTTCAGAATGTCTCTTTTTTCTGTAAGTTCAACCAGTTCAATATACTTTAAAACCTGAATGCAGAGCTCATTTTTACACTTGTTTTTTGTAGTGATCAGAAGCAGATCTATATTGGTGATGACAATCCCTTGACACTAATTGTCAGTGCTCAGAATCAAGGGGAAGGAGCCTACGAAGCAGAACTCTTTGTCGTCGTTCCGCCCCAAGCAGATTTCATCGGTGTTGTTCGTAACAATGAGGTAAAATTCCAGCTATCTTTCCTCTTTGAGTAGTCGTATTTCAGGTGCTGCTATGGAAGTCGGTGGGAGAGTGTCCGTCAGTGGTATTTTTTATGCTTCAATCTTAAAGCAAAGCACTGAAAAAATGATAAGGTTCTTCCAAGCTCCAAGGCTATGTAACACCTGGCTGGATGGTTCCAGTTTAAGAGCCTACTGCTAGCAACAAAGGAGAATCGTCTGTGTGATGGAGCTTGACGCGCAGAGTTTATCTGCTACAAGTCTTTGTTTGAACAGTGCCCTTGTTGATTTATTAAAATTTAGACTTAGCATGTCATGTGCTAGGTAAAGAGCTGGGCACCCATGAGGCAAAAAGTGATGTTAAGTATTACTACTCTCTTCCACCTAAGTATGTTCAAAGCCTTGGGTGTCAGTTATCCTGACGTTCCCTTGTATTATAAAATGTCTGTATAACTTCTGTTTCTTTGAAGACACGTGGGTATAGTCCAAATTTTGTTTTAGCCCTTTATAGCTATATATAAGTAATGTACTTTCAGATTTTCTTCATCCTTGTTTTTATTTGGTATGATCTATGATCAATCAACATATCTGTAAAGCTGCAGAATGTTAAGGGGAAAACAATTTTTCCCCTATATCAAAGGATTCTAACTTTGATACTGCATCCTTTATATATGTTGGACCACACCTTGGTTTGGTTCTCCAGTTTGCCTCTGCTACTCTAGAGCTTTGTGATGTAGATTTATGCAAAATCTGATAGCTCCAAGACCTCTTTTTGAGTAAGCTAGTAAGTATTTATGTTATTTTGCCTTCCAATCTTTATTTTCCTATGGAGAGTTGCCCAATTGCCAAAGTTTCTTCACATAGGTTTTAAAGAATCACATGGAGAAATGTTTTAGGTCACAAAAATAATCAGGGCTACCCAATATGAGAGTATTGAATTTCTCTTTTTATAACCTTGGAAAGAGCATCTGTCTTGTATCAAAAATATTTGTCTCCATGGAGACTTTCATACTCAGATTTTATTTAATTCTAGTGCTTGACTGTGTTAGGACTGAGAAATGATACTAAAATTAACGCCGCATGTCTAGAACTTTTCTCCAGACTTTCAGCCAGGTGTCTAGATATAAAGAATGACATTTCTTAAGATTTTTTTTCTGGTTTATTGCAGGCTTTAGCAAGACTGTCATGTGCATTTAAAACAGAGAATCAAACTCGCATGGTAGTTTGTGACCTGGGAAATCCCATGAAAGCAGGGACTAAGGTAAGGTTTGGTCCAACAGCAGGTGTCTGGTAGCTCAAACAGGAGTGCAATTAGCATTTTTCTTAATCACAGTGGTGTCTGGGCAGGATGTTTACTCACAGGAATTTAAGATTAGATCTGGCTGACATTTAGCTGCCCACATGTTCGGTTAGTTCAGTGGTAATTGGTTTCAACTTTTCACCTAAATTAAAGGCTGAAAGGAGTGTTAATGAGTTTTATGATGCAACTCAAAGGAGTAGTTCATTGAACAGTGGAATTAATGAACTCTGGTCCCTCATGAGTTTGACTTTAGACTTATCTGATAGGTATTTTTTAGTATATAATAAAGAGCTAGCTCATAACACATCTTTCTCTTAGTGGAAACTTAATAGGGCTTCTCTCTTCTGCCTAGTTTTGTGAAGTTTGAGAGGGAGTTTTGTCTAGTTGAGACCTCCGCCCTTCCACCAAATATAGCTGAAATTGGAAGAATTAAAAGACTGTTAGTGGGACCTGGCAGATATTAAGATGATATGACATAATAAGTGAAAATCAGTTACAATTATAAACACTTTGGTGCTTTCTTCCAAGAGACATGTTGTGTAGATGAATAAATGCTGTTTCCAAAGTCTTTCAAAGTATATCAAGGCGAGCTGTACAGATGTTGAAGCAACTATCATGCACTGACTTAGAACAAACCTTGGGAACTGAATTCAGAATCATTAAAGTGTGCCCTGTTCTTCAGACTACAGTACTTATTGCAACACATAGGGAGGCTTAGTTATGTGTATAAATGGCTGAAGCAAGGGGGGTGAGCATGATGTAAACCTTACATTTCTATTTTGTGGCAGTGATGCATCGGCTGAAGTCTACAGAGAGGGTGGTACATTTCTAGCCTTGATGAACTGGACAAGTTTTAATTGCCAATTCTCTGTGTGTTTTCTCTTAACGACCACAAGCCTCAAGCAGTTTCGTTGTAGTATAATAGTATTAAGAAGCTTTTATCATGTATTTTATTGTGTTTCCACTGAACCATGGTGATTTTTTTCTAAAGCTATTAGCTGGCCTGCGTTTCAGCGTGCACCAGCAGTCTGAAATGGATACCTCTGTGAAGTTTGACTTGCAAATCCGAAGGTACGGAAATCTATGAGTATGTACCTCACCTGGTAGACAACATGCAAAGTAAACTGACTGTGAACGAAGCAGTTAGTTTCACTCTGGACTAATTCTCTAGTCTTTGCCTTCTAATTGTTTAAAAAATAATCACGTCTTCTTGATGAATTATATTTTCTAAAATAGAGGAAAAAATGTAAGAAAACCCAGTTTTCTCTTTGAATGCAGTTTCTTTTGCTTATAGCTTTTAGACAGGCCATGGCACAAGTGAAATACTACTAATGAGGAACAAAACCATTTAAAGTGTTTCAAGAAAACCTTTTGTATTTTTGTACCTGCACACTATTGTGATCTCTTGACACTTGTGTAGTGCCACAGAATGACTTGCGTCTTTGGGTTTCTAGCCCTGTTTTAAAACTGATGTTTGAACTCTGAATTCCTTCTGATGTAAAGCCGGAATTTCAAATTTTATGTATTTTGAGGATGAGAGGTATAAGGCTTTCAGAAAAGGTAATGCATGTGATGATCTGAGCAGAAGCAACATGCAGTGAACCATTTTAAGTGTTTTACAGTAGCCAGCATAAGAGACTCTAAAAATTAAATGGAACAAAACAGTAGTGTTCCTGTTAATTATAAGATGAGCACAGCACTTTCATATAAACATGTTATATAAATCTGAATTTATACCTACTGGAGATGATATTTAAGATTTGGACATGTGATCAATAGGAATCTCTTTACCCAGTACAGTTTTATGTTGCTTAATGGACGGTACAAATACAGCTGCTTATTTTCCCCATGGTGGACCAAAAGGTTTTTGGTTTTTTTTTTCCATTTAAGGTCTTCATTTTTTTTTTTAATGTAGCCAATAAATTATTCTCATCCACATATGTATTTTCGTCTGCTAGAGTTAAATAAGTTTAAACCTGCCATTCTATTTTAATGATACAGTGGTTTGTCATACTGATCAAAGGCCTTGGCAGCATTAAATCTCTCTCTGATCTCACATTGCTGTCTGTTCAATTCTTTTTTTCCCCTCTTCTCCATCAGCTAGTAAGCTGTGCCAGTGGCATGTGACTCCAGTTCTTCTTTGCAGAAAGAGATCTTCTCTGGGGGGTGTCTGTTTTCTTCCTTAGGCTAACAGCGGTCACTAACTACCTTTTACTGGGAGAAAAAACAGTCAGTGAGGTTGCTTAAGTCATGCTTCTCTTCTGATGGAAGAGAAGGGAAGTTCCTGTAACATTTTACACCTTTTATGGAAGGAATTTCCTTACACCATTTCTGAATGCAAGAACAAGTGATGCAATCGAACATGGTAATCACAGCTCATAATGACAGGCATTATCAAGGTATTATCTTGAAGAGGTTTTAAAGATCGTATTAGTTGTCTTAAACTCACAAAGCTAGATTTCCAAAGCTGGTGCAATTCCTAGCAGAACAACTCTGGTCTCTGAAAGAATGAGGTATTTACAGGTTGGGAAGAAAATGCTGGTGCATGTATTTTTGATTACGGCAGCAGTGAAGAATAATTAGAGAATTTAAGAAGATCTTTCTAAATGAAATTGTTTAGTTAGGTAGACAGAATAATCAGGTGTATCTAATCAGGATTCTGTTCCCAGCTCCACTTTGGAGGGGAATAGGAGTGTTCTCTGTATTTCTTTTTCTCTGTTTACAAAGAAAGTCCAAAGAAATTTTATGTATGAATGACTATGTATGAATGCATTAATATCTGTCACCTCTTGGTGTATCTGAAGTGTAGGAATGGGATGTTAACTATATTCATTTACTGTTTTAAACACTGTGAAGAGGGGTAGGCAAAAGTAGCCCTAGCATACTTTTCTGCCCTGGGACTAGTTTGAGGCCAACAAGTCCCTGAGCAAAAAAGTGGAACGTAAGGCTCTGCTAGCTGTATAGTTGATGTTATCCCACAGCGCTGGCATTTGAATTTTCATATGTGCGGCAGCTAAGGAAGAGAGTCAGCATTAGCTTTGTGTCCTTTCTTGACTTCTCCCTCCTGAGGGACCTCCAAACTGTGCTGAGGGTGGGACTGTCATGCATTTAAGTGAGAACTTGCTGGAATCTGCTCCATAGCTTTAGTAAATGTGCTTTCCTACAGTGGCTCAGGAATCATGTTATGATGTTACATACAGTTATTTTAAGTTGTTGATTTTGGTGGTTTGGTTTTTTTTTAATACTTAGCTTATTTCATTTAAGAAATTAACTTTTATTTTCTCTGCAGTTCCAACCTGTATGACAATCTAAGTCCGGTAGCATTCTATCAGGCTGACCTTGCTATTTTAGCAGCTGTTGAAATTAGAGGGTAAGCATTGATACTATTTTAATAAACATCTTTCTCAAATGAGCTTTGCATGTTTGCTTCTTTATAGCCAATGAGCTTTCCTTCAGGTCTGCATAAGTTTTCAGGAAGCCTTAGGGAATTTTTAATCATAAAGAAAATATGGTTCTCTCTAGCCACTCTTTGGACTTTCAGATCTTAAATAATTCTAAATAATTACAGAATGAATTCCAAAAAGGAATGTTGTGCCTCTGTTACTAGAGTGTTTTTTAGAAGAAGAGGAGACAAAACAATCACCCATCGTTTTTGCAGGTTCACATGTTTCTCCAGGTCATTTTCCTCCTCCACAAACTGACTGGGTTTTCATCTGAAACCCCCTGAATCCTTTTTTTCAACAACAGTTGAAAATCCTATTGAAGCTAAGGTTGCAATGCCCCTCACCTTCTTCAGTCTTATGCATTGCATTACTATTGTAATGACTCTATTACCTCTGTTACTTCTGCTTACCAGAAATCTATATTTCACACCTAAAAGGGATATAATCCTCTTGCTTAGCCACTTAACTCAGATTCTTGAGTCACAATTTTTAAAAATTGCCACTACGTTCATTATTGTGATCTAATATCCGAGAGGTGCGGGGGATGGCACAACTGAAAAGCATTATTGCTAGCTTCACTGTTTTCAGTGCATGCTGAATTATTCTTATGACTGTACTGATAAGTCTCTACACTATCAATAGTTTGCATTATTGAACTGTTTCACACTTTGTGTTTTTTGGATGACATGTATGTATCTTAATTCTGTTAATGGTTTACTGGATGATGTAGGATGAATCCAAAGTTTAGGACAGGAAAAGAATGTTTTGAAATACAAGGTTCATCTTTTCACATAGAGAAGAAAACTGAATATTTACTATGCAAGCCACTCAACCTCTGTTCTTTCTGGTTTTATATACAGAGAATGAAAAATTGGAGATTGTATTTTAAGCGTGTTGATTTTTTTGAGATGTTCTGGAGAACTGCGTTTATCGTTTTGTACTTTATAGTAACGATTTGTTTGCTCTGCTGTTTAGTGTGTCGTCTCCTGATCACATATTCCTTCCTATTGCAAACTGGCAGCCGAAGGAGAATCCAGAAACAGAAGATGATATTGGGCCTCTAGTTCAGCATATCTATGAGGTATGCAATTACTACTCATTTCAATTACAGAGTTCTGTGATAAAAGAAATCTTTTGGTGTAGCTTTTCTCTGGAGTAAATTATAATTTTTTTTTCTTCATCTTGTTCTTGCATGGAAAGAAAGATTTTATTTTTTTCTAATGCTGGGTCAATAATTGGTATCTGCAAGAAGGGTTGGAATACCTGCAATTGGTGTAACAGGAGTGGCCATATAGAAGAGTGGCCAGTAGAAGAGGCTGATTTTTTTTTTTACATTATTACACATATTTTATTTTCTAGCCCTTTGAAATCTAGATAAAACATCTGAAGTAACTTGAACTCAGAAAATGACTCATGGCTGTAAATTATTCAGTATCCTCATTTGTATTCCAACTGTTCTGAATTATTATTGTAAAGTCTTTTGCCTTGAAAAATTTTAAGTATTTAAAATTTCCTTAAAAGAATGATCACAGCTTTAATCTAGATTGTTTAATTAAACAAATCTTACTGAGAGGGCTGTGTGAATACGAATAGTTAAAAGTTGTTCTAGAACTCAAGACCATTTATCTAACAAAATTTACGGGTGCATGTATCTGTGTTCAGTGTATCTTGGCTGAGACACGTACAGTGGCTGTGATTCATGCAACAGACTACCAAAAAACCCCCTTTTTTCAAGGAAAAAAAAAATACATTTCTTGAAGGCAAAAAACCTAACGCCATTTAGCTTTTCTTCAAAGTAATTTTTATCAAATTACAGAACTAATTTTAAGTTTTGCCTGTTGAGGGACTGAAGTTTACCATTTTCAGGTAAGTTGTTGATGCTACTGCCCTAAGTGGTTGGGGGTAGGGGTAGCAGCAGTATCATTTACGGCTCAAATATAAAATAACAGCTATATGCACATTAACGAAGAAGGCAGCATTGGGGTTTTTTACATTTGTTAACTTTATTTTCATGATCAGCTGAGAAACAACGGCCCAAGTGCATTCAGCAAGGTGATGTTGACTCTGCAGTGGCCTTACAAATATAAAAACTACACACTGTTGTATATTGTTCAGTATGAAATTGATGGTCCCATGAACTGCACTTCTGATATGGAAATCAATCCATTGAAAATTAAGGTAAGTGGGACTTTTCCTTTTGTTTGAGTGGAATGAAGTATGTTCGTTTGTTTCGGAAACACACTCAAAATACCCAGATCCCTGAGAATATCTAACACTGTCTAAGTTTCATCTGTTGCTGAGGAGCAAGACTGCACTGTTTGATATTGCTTGTCGATGTATATAGCAGATGAAATAAAAGGTAGACAATAGATTGTCAACCCAAAGATAAACGTGTCTTGTTTCTTTCTAGGTTTTTAGTTGGTTCTTTTTTGGTTTGCCTTTTTTTTATTTCTCCTTGAAGATGGTCCTGTATGAGTTCTAAGTCCAAAGCAATCGAATGATATTGAATGGTCATGAACAAAAATATTCCAGATGCTTCTGGGCTGTTTATGTAAATTTTCTGGGTTTTATTTCTTGGAAGAAAATGGCACTGTTTTTTCTATTACTGGCTTATTTATCTAGGCCCTCATCCAAATGCCACAGAGGTCAACAGGAGTGTTTCAGGGGGCTTAAAAGTATGCTATAACTGCCAGCAAAACATGCAGTTTGCAGAGCACAGAGCAGAAGAAACTCCTTTTTTCTAGGTCAGACTAGACAAAGAAACACCAGATAACCAGCAAGTTTGGCAGTAGAGAGCTGAATTCTAAGACAATTTAGAACAAGTAGTATAAATCAGTATATTAGTTCTAAAAGAATTCAAGCAAACATATGTATAAAAACACTAAGAGAAGATATTCAGTGTATAGAACAACAAAGAATACTCATCTATCTTTGATATCAGAAAACAATTTTAGTGAATATATATAAATACAAATTTCCTGCACTTTTGCTATACCATTTGTAATAATGTATTTTTTACAACTCCCTTGTAAGTTTTCTCATGTAAATTTGTTATGTAGAGGACAAGTAGCATAGCTCTGCCTAGTCCCATATGTAAATTTGCAATTTTACATAGGGAATTTCTAAGGGATTACTGAAATAATTTATGAAACATACTGTAAACTTTTTCAAGCCCCTCATAAAAAAGTTGTCATGTGTACACATATACAGTGGTATGTGGTACATCAGTACCATACTAATGCTATTTTTTCAGAGTTAAAAACTGAAATGTTGAGGAAAAATCTTTAATAAAAGACTGCAAAATTGAATTATTTGTTGCAGTCTAAGAGGTTTGTTTTTTTTGTCTATACATAAAAAACTTTTAAGTTGAAGAAGAATTAAGGCTCTGTGTTGGTTCTTAGTAGAAATTTGCATCAGTGATCTAGAAAAGGCAGGAGTAACATTTTAATTACAGCTGTAGGTAAAGCCAGGTTCTGAAGAACAGCTAGGATGGAAAGAGAGAAACCTGATGAGTTATATATTTTCTTGACCTTAACTTTGAAGTCTGCAAATATCTAAATGCAAGAATTATTTATTATTTGGGTTTCCTTGGTGTATCCTAGATTTCTGCTTCTAAAGATGATGAGAAGAATGAAACACTTAGCAGGGAAGATAATCGTGATCATCGCATCAGTCGAAGGGATGTAACTGCCATTGAAGGAGACGTGCATACTTTGGTAAGCTCTCAGCATTGATATATTGATAATATTTTCAGTTTTCTTAAAACGAAGATGGAAATGAAAGCTCCATCAGATGAAGAACCACTTCAGAAAATCCATGTTCTGTATTTAAACAGTTAACAGACAAAAAAGTCACATGCTTTGGAGCGCTTTTGGTTTGGTTTTTTTTGTTTGTTTGGTTTTTTCAGTGTGCATCAGTTTTCCTGAGGGTAGTCAGCCAATGAGGCATATGCCTGTGGTTTTGTGCTGTTATGTTTTAAGCCCTTAAAAACAAAGGTCAAGTTGGGCACTTCATTCAGTGTCAGTCTTCTATACTGTGCTGTTCTCTGAATTTGAAAATCAGTACTTCAGAGGAGGAAGGCTGGTAAAATAGGATGACTGAGAGGAAGCAGGTGAGTGCTGCAGTCGTATCGTTGCTACAAATTACAACTGATTTAACAACACGTTTCCTAGCTCATCAGTAGACATTCTGTAGTCAGACACGTGGAGGACCTGCCCTTCCTAAACAAGATTGAAAATAATCTGTAATATGAAGTAAATTTATTACCGTATCACTGTCTTTGTAACTGGGCTTGCAGAAATGAACCTGTCCCTGCTTTGGGCAAGGGAGAATGGGCAGGCAGCTGAGAGAAATGCTTGGGAGTTTAGGGTGGACCAATGGGACTAAGGCAGTACAACCCTGATTCCAGAAGTGTTTAGGCTTTGGAGAAGACAAAAAAAGGGCTGAGCAAAGAAAGTGAAAATAGGAATTAATTCCTTATTTTATGGTGAGAAATGTTACTTTATTTTTTTAGATATAAGCTACAAATATTCTTCAGTATCTATAAATGCAGTTCTGAAGGGTGTGGTGGTGGGTTTTTTTGGATTTTGTGGGTTTTTTTGGATTTTGTGGGTTTTTTTGGATTTTGTGGGTTTTTTGGGATTTTGTGGGGTTTTTGGGATTTTGTGGGGTTTTTGGGATTTTGTGGGTTTTTTGGGATTTTGTGGGTTTTTTGGGATTTTGTGGGTTTTTTGTTTGGTGGTTTGGTTTGTTTTTAAAGGGCTTGGGTTTTGCCATATCTTCCCAATGACTTGGCAGGATTTCACCTCAGAGACTAATATCCAGTATTCATAATAATTTCACCGAGTTGTACTTACGCTGCAGATGTACCTACACTATACAGTGCTTTTATCTATAGTACAGCTAAAATCACAATTATAAAATGAAGCCTTGTCTTGCTGTGCTTTCTTCTTGAAATACTGGTGGTTTAGCATCACTATTATCAAATGGATTTTAATGGAAATGTGGTTGAGAAAGGCCAGTTTAACTTCTGTAGTCCTAAGTATGGCTTATAGATTAAGTTAGTCAAGTTTGAAGACTTCCGCTGAATGCAACAAAGTGTATTTTGTGGGCACCAAGTGCAGTTAATTGTCATGGGTTTTCCTATCAAAAAACCTGTGGAGGATGGTAATATGAATTGACCAGAAACTGCGCCCCGCCACCCCCCAACATTTTTTTTCCTACATATGTATATATAGGAAAAAGTAAGTACATATCTTAAAGCTACTGCCAGCTGTTTCACATTTGGGATCCAAGTGGCTCACATAATATTTTTCTGAATGCAAACTTATGGGACCCTATAAGTAATTATTCAGTACTGGAGGTTATTTAATATATTTGAATGGTTTATGGTGCTTTGCCAGGAAAAGAGGACAATAAAGTATGGATATGAGTAAAGTAATGCCATTAACGACTTTTCAAATATTTTCATATTTGGAATATCCTTCCTATTTTTATATGCAGGGCTGTGGAACTGCTGATTGTTTAAAGATAGTCTGTCAAGTTGGCCACCTGGAAAGGGGAAAGAATGCAATATTGTATTTAAAATCACGCCTTTGGATGCAAACTTTCATGAATGTGAGTGACTGAATATTCTGTCCCTGCTTCTGAAACAAAAATAGTGGCTTTTGTATCCACGTGCAATACTAATTCTGTTTTTTCTTATACAGAAAGAAAATCAGAATCACTCCTATTCTCTCAAATCATCTGCTTCTTTCAATGTTATAGAGTTCCCTTATAAGAACCTTTCCTTTGAAGATATCCACAATTCTACAGTAGTAAGTCATTTACATCCAGCTTGAGTTACCATACATAATTACTTTGAAATTAATACAAAACCAGTGATTGTTGAGTAGCTTTTTTGTGGCTTGGTCTAATTGTAATTTTATCAGATATTTGATTTATACATTAATTTCAGTTATGCACATACAATGGAGGGCAAAACAAAATTTTTTTGTCCTAAAACTAGAGTTAACAATATTTGCAGCTTTAAAGACTTAACTGAAAATGAAGAAAAAGATGGTGAACAGTCCTAATGTTTTTAAGATGTCCTTAATGTTTTTAAGCCATTCTTGTTAAGAGAAATATTGTACTTGAAAATTGTCTTCTACTGTAGTAGCACTTAGAGCTTGAATAATGGACCTTTATTATATTATATGAAGTACTACGTGAATGTGGAACAAAAAGACCATCTGTGCCCTAGAGGGTTTCAAAGAGAAAGGAGACAGGGTGCAGAAAGAAAGGAAGATACAGGCCATTTAGTTGGGCTGCCAAATTAGAAGTTTTTGGTAGGTACTATAGCATAAAAGATCTTAAGAAAGGGGTTGAAAAGGATTGTGATTGATTTATTTTTTAATATGGTTTTTAATGCCTATTATTAACTGTTTTTTTCTCTCCTAAGCCTTGTGGAGCTGATTTTTGTTTCAAGGAATACTGCCTTTTAAGAAAAAAAGGAAAAGCTCTGAATTATTTTTCTCTAATTCCCAAATATTTCCAGATTTCTGTAGTTTTACTGAAAATCATCAAGCATTACAGAATACATGTTGCTGTGGTATCACTGATTGCAAAAAACCAAAACCAAACCAAAAAAAAAAAGAAAACCCAAACCCTCAAAGTCCTGTTTTTATTTAAATTTAAAATCTTATTCAATTTGGGTCAATGAAACCTTTGTGTCACTATTAATCTATACCGGTTTACTCACCTTGGAGAGAAAAAGTAATTTATGATGGATTAAGATTATTTGAAACACTATAGAATAAAGATATACAAGACTTCAACTGCATGAATGGCCTCGGCATGTCACTGCTGTGCAAAGTGTAATTTATTGTGTTTTTCTATTAGGTTACTACAAATATTACATGGGGCATTCAACCACAGCCTATGCCTGTGCCAGTGTGGGTTATAATTTTGGCTGTCCTAGCAGGATTATTGCTCTTGGCTGTTCTAGTGTTTGTAATGTACAGGGTAAGTACTGCATTTGAGATTTTGTATTGTTTTCTTTTCCCTACTAGCGATGTATTACTTCAAATATTAACCAGCAGCTTGCAGAAATACCTTGATCCCCTTATCATCTGAATCAGTTAAGTTTTTGGATAACTGTAAAAACTTTTCAGCTTTGTCAGGAAGAAGTTGAATAAAAGAGGATGTCTGTGATTGCGCTGAATTACTCAGTTTAATTTTTCAGCTAATATTTATTGGCTTTGGATGTCAAAAACAAGGAAAAAGAGAGTAGGAGGGAAAAAATCAAATAATCAGTTAAGATCCGATCAAGAAGGAAAGAGAAAGGATGTGTGTATGTTTTGAAAATCACAATGTAATTTCTTTATTGTTCTCTGAATCACAGATGGGCTTTTTCAAACGTGTGAGACCACCTCAAGAAGAACAAGAAAGAGAACAACTGCAGCCACATGAGAATGGGGAAGGAACATCAGAAGCTTAAGCAGAGTTTTATCTGTAAGACATTCTGAAATTTTAAAATGCCTACATCTTGGTTACAAATATTGGTTTCCCCCTTAAGGAAAAAACACTCACGACTGCAAAGCTGCTGGTCTCAGAAGGTATCAGCATGTACAAAATAAGAGCAATATATTTAAATCCTCCTTTTTGTGTTAATTATGTTCATCCATGTGACTAACACATCTGCACTGATTTGTGTGTGAAAAAATTAAGTAATATGTAGTGCTGTGATTTTGCTTATTGGGATGTAGGAGACATCATCTTTTTTGATTCACAGACCGACCTTACATGAATTATTACACAGATTCTGCATTTGCTCTTGAAGCCAACAGCTTCCATAGATACTTGTCGGATGACACGTTTAGTTTTGATTGATTTTTGTTGGAGTACACTACACTTGAAAGCTAGCTCTTGAAAGCTAGTTGCACAAAAAAATGAACATAGCTTGTTTTACAAAACTGAAGAATATTCTTTGATACATTGACTCTGCTGATGATTTTCCTCCTGCTCAAAGAATATGAAAGAGATTATTCAGTGAAATCATTCACATCTGATACCTGTTCTGCATGCCTGTTCCCTCCCTGCTCAGTCACCTGTCTTGTGGTTTTCCTCTAGACTTTACAAATATTGTTCTTCAGGTCCTAGGTCTCTTACTGTAGGAATTAAGTCTACCGAAACAGGAGTGAGTGGTAGAAAGCTGGGGATGATGATGTACTTTCTATGGGACCTAGTGAAACAATTCAGGGCAAGATCCAAGGACTCTGCTGAGTATTTCCACAGAGCAGGATCCAGGTGTTCCACAGAATTCTTGGCAGCATGGATTCATTCAGGCACTGCCAGGGACAAGGTGTTTGCTCGACTGCGGCTGCCAACAGACATGTCTGATGAGAAAAGCCATAGCCTTTATGTTCACAAGTCAAACCTCCGCAGGGCTGGAAGTTAAGTTTGTATATTACTCGGGTTGAATTTTGGTTTCTGGTAAAGCAATGGATGGAATACTTTGACAGGTTACCTGATGCACTGTGAGGAAGCTGTTGTTAATTCCCGCATTCTGTGGTTGACTATGTCCAAGTGCAGGATGGAGTAATATAGGGAGTGTTTAAACTAGACTATCTGCCAGCCAAATGTATCTAGCTTACATCCGTACTTCAGCCACACTCATGCCTGCCTTGGCACCTGCCCTGAGAGAACAGAGCTTGTCAAATGAAGCAGAGTATAGCTGGCAACATAAAATGGCTTGAAAAGAGAAGGTTGATTTGGCTTGTTTCATTTCATTCATTCATTGTATGTTTCATTGCACAAAAGACTTTTCATTGCACAAGACATTTCATTATGTTCAATACATTTCATTACCTGAAAAGACACTAAATATTTTGTTTCATTGTTATTTTTCTAAACATACAAAAAACTCAGTGGTTTAAAGCCACAGGTTTATGTCATTCTTAGCTTATTTCCCTCAGCATTGGTGTGGTAAAATGAAGCTGCTTCTACTTCGGAGAGAACACAAGAACATTGTCTATATGCATTTCAGTAGAAATGTAACTGCAGATTAGGAGGTTGCTTGGCTTGCAACCACGTGTAGCTGTGTTGCACAAACCTTAGAGTGGACATACTTAAACTATTGCAAAGGTGCCTTATATGAGATTTGTTCATTGTCTATTCCAAAAAGGGAATAAATTACATCATAAACTCCCTGTATGCAGCCACATACAGAAAGGAAGACTTCTACTGTAATCATGCCAGTGAGATTTCTATGTAGACAAACTCTTAAAAGGAAAAAAAAAAAAAACAACTCGCGTTTGGTTTGGTTTTGTATCTTGGGGGTTCAAAGCTGCATCTCCCCCATCAATGCTGCAATGCCCAGTAAACCCAGAATTATCTGAAATGAACGGTTTGATTCAACTCTCATCTCTGCATCCTTTCTGAGATTTAAAATCCACAAATGGCTTTCGTTAAGTCCATTCTTACTCACTGAACCGTGATGGCATTTGAGTCGTTAAGAGAGACAGCACAAAGTCTGCGGGGGCCAGTATGTATATCAGATACAGGCTTGCATATTTATCCATTTACACGGTTTTGGTTTAGGCAATTTATTTAGATATAGTTAGTTTACATGAGAGGGTACAGGGCATAATTCCGCTTTCACTGAATTTTCAAGGTCTCCAGAGTGGCCACATTTTATTTTTGTCTTTACTTCTGGTATTGTTACATATGGTAGAGAATCAGGAGTCAGGTTTTGATCCTGGCCTCAAAATGTGACTTTTATAAAACACAATTTCAGTTACTTACACAGGCTTCTAGTTCACAGACTTTGTCAACTGATTATCTATATGCAAAGAGATTGTTTTTACCCAGTCTTAATCTTAGTAGGTTAAGAGGTTTAAGAGACTGTCAGACAGATTATAGCTCTAATTCTTACATGTGTGCTTTCATTACATGTACACACTGTGTTGACTTGAAATTTATTAGACTACTTGCATGTCTAGGCATTATAACGAGATGAAAAAAAAAGGCACGATCAAGATCTCTTCAGCTCATATGGAAGGGATACTGTAGTATTGTTAATGTCAGTGCTAACTGCATCTTAATTTTACTGTGGCAACTGGAAACTCATTTTGCTGATTTTTCAGGATGAAAAGGTACATTTTATTGGTACAACTACTGTAGCTATGGAAAGTTTCTTCCATTTATTGGAGTTAGATAAAGTAAGACTTATTTAAGTGATTTTTATTTTCTTGCATTTTACTGGAGAATAAAAGCAAATAGTTGCTTTTCCCATGTCCACTAATTTCCAGTTTGGTTAAAAAAAACCCTAGTAGTATATGGAGTATACAGGTTACTTGGTGAACATAGATGTAACATCCCAAATTCAGTTTAAAGTAACATTTGTGTTTCAGGAAGATTCTGAACAGGATGTTTTCCTGAATGGGGGCGCAGGAAACATTTGTTACCATGTTCTAGATTCAGCAATAAAATTACAGACTATATATGTACTTGTGTCAGTATAAATTTCATACTGACTTATGTCAGCATTGATGTATTCTTACAGCAAATATTGTAGAATGATGTTAAAACTTTTAAAGAAACTTTAAAAAAATGTATTTTGGAATGAAATTAATGCCCTTGAGTCAAAATTGATGTGCATAAGATGCATACTGCAAGCATTAAAAAAATACAAGTACAGTAACAGAGAATTAGTTCTCTTTTGAGAGTTATGTTTCAGGAGTGTATTTTTATGAATATAAAATCAACAGCTATATAATTATTTAGACAATGAAAACATTTTAAAAGAGCTATATCTTTTATAATGAAACATGAAATCCTATAACTACTCCAGTTTGCAATTATTGCAGCATCTCATGATCAGTATTAAAAAGTGATTTATATTACAAAATGCATAGTATCTATTACTATATTTGACAATATTTAGAAAACATAAAGCAAGGAACCTAATTTATAGGTTTACATTTCTTTCAAGAAACTACCAAATTGTGGAGATAGCTTTTGTTTAAGCATGACTGCAAAGTCAAATATGGGATACGTTTGTCAACATAAGTTGAAATCTTTAAGGAAATGTTCGCAGGTATCAGTGTCAAGCTTATAATTTTATTTGTCCCATTTTTCTGTTTTAAATTTTGATTTACACGTTGATCTTTGATTCACATAACGCTTGTGGAAACTTTCTTAAAGTTTATTATATATGCTCTTTCTTTATAAAACATTTATTCCAAGCAAAGATTTTTAATATGTAGTTGTTTCTTGTGTCTATGCTTAAATAGTCTTTAAGGTAAACTCTCACGGGTATTTTGAAAATATTTCAGCTATAATCAGCATGTTCTTGGTGATTTGAAGGATTCATGTTGCACTTAGATTTTTGCAACATTCAGGTTTGCTGTTGCGTACCCTGGCATAGATAGGCCCTGCAGTATTTTGTCCTACACCCTCACAAACAGTCACAGAGCAGCATTACCCTGGTGAAAATCTAGTCTGTTTTTGTCTTTGGTTCAGACTAAGACCTATTCCACAGTCTAATGAAGTCCTAGAAAACCTGACATTCATTGCAACTGGCTTTGAATGTGACCCTTGCTGCTGGCTGTTAAGGGGGGGGGGAAATAGGATTTTATAAAAGGAAAATGGAAATCGAAAAAATGAAAAGGTGGTGGCAGACCACTGATGAGCCTTACAGCAAAGAGATGGTTTTGTTTGTTTGCCTATTTCTGAGATGGGAAGAACCCATTAGTTTTCTGCTGGCAACGGCCTTCTATCACAAATGAATCCCACAGTTTGGATCATGATTATATGCTGAGCTCTAATAGCTCTCATTGACTTGAGTGGGATCTGAACTCTTTGGTACTCAATCTCTAGCTTCTAATTCCCAAGTGCAATATAATATGACCAGATCTAGTTCACTGCCAAGTTGTCTGTTTATTTTGTTTGCCTAAGAAGGGATGTAGCATTTGTTGACTTGCAGTGGTCAATATTTTTACAGACATTAACAAAACCAGTGTGTTAAATCGAGGTGATAAATGAATGGTATGGAAAGGTTTTGATCGCCCACATTGGGTGAAACATGATGTATTATTCTAAAGGGCATCCATTACTAACTCTTGAGTTATTGAGAATTGGTACAATATTCTTTAACTCCACTGTGGAAAATTTGACTAGAGACTATACAATAATGGCTTTGAGTCTGTAGTGCTACTACTGTTTCATGTGATTATGGTATTTAGTATTTCGGTCTATTTTTTTCCAGTGTGTAGAATTTTTATATAACACAGTAAATCTAACCTTTCATGCAATGACCTTCTCCAAATATGCTGCATTAAGGTTGAATAACTTGACCCTTGGCTCTTGCAAAGTATATGAAGATTTAATGTAGCATTTGAATCTTCAGAAAACTTTTACAGGTTTAGGTGGCCCTTTCTAGTCCGTGAAGGAAACCTGTATTTGCTATGATACAAGTATGTTGAAAATGTAACATTTTATGTCTTTGTAATAGAATTTTTTTGCCTTTTTTGTTTTTGCTCGTGCATTAAATCAGTAGAGCGTTGTTTGCACAAGCAGAAAATTAACATACTAACAGGAGTGCTGCATTTTGGGTTTCTTAGTCATGTAGTAAATACGTGTAACATAAATGGGAATATTTTCAAGAACTATGAACTTGTTTCAAAGGTCTTCGGTACATTTAAGGAGAGCAATATACATTTGAAGTCACCTTATTTTTTATTAAATTATAAATCTTGAAAAAAATGGGTATTGTGGCACAGTAATTTTGTACTGATATCAAATATATAGCTATTAAGCTATGGTTTTCTTTTCAGCTCATTCTTTTCATCCTAATTCAAATTTGATTGATTTTATT